AGTTTGGGAAAACAGGGCAGCTATTCACTTAGCTGGGGTTTTCTTGGACGAACCTCCACTACGAGAGCGTGAATCAAGTAAGAGCCAGACCCAGGTATCCTCCCCGCTGCGGGGCAGCCCTGCATGCCCCTGCAAACAGCACTTGTCCTCCTGCAGGGCTCTTTGCTGGCCAGCACACACACTTTACTGATTTGATGCTCTCTAGGAGGACAGAGAGATTTAAAGCCACGTCCTGCCACACTCGATCGTGCTGTTAGTGCACACTGACACTAAGGCAGCTCTGGAAAAGTTCATGGTTTACGTTAAAGCCTTGGCAGATGCTACCGCTGAAGAGTAGCGTGGGTTTCGGCTGCTGTAACTCAGAAGTGAGAAAAGCCCTAACCCACGGCGATCCCGAAGGGCAATTCCCACTCCAGCCATCACCGCATCCGCATGGGGCTCCGAGAAGGAGGTTAGTTCAGGAGAATGGAAAAGAAAAGAAAAAAAAAAAAGAAGCCTTAAAGGTCCAATCCTGTGAGCTACAGCAACACGAGAGCATCGGATCCACCCTAACGGACACATCCCGTGTTTACGTCTCCCGGGCCGGCGCCCCCAGCGCTTCCTGAGCGCTGCCTCCTGCCTCCCCTAGATTACCCAAAGCTTTTTCCTCCCCCCTTTATCTCCTTTGCTCCGTGAAACCGGCAGCACTGGAACCGTTGGACTCTCCCTCTAGTCCCCCCCTTCCTTTCTCCTCCCCGGCGAGTGCAACTCTTGGTTCCTGACCACCCATTTCAGCGTCTTTTCCGCTCGTTACTTGCTTTCCTCCAGTTGTTGCCTCATCCCCGCTGTCCGCTACCATGAGCCGCCTTCGGCTCTGCTCCTCTCCGAGGAACGTGTTTTTGTTTTTTTCTAATACGCACACACCACACGCAGCCTCCTCTGCCCAGATTTGCTTGTCTGTGGTCACCCACAACGCTAACCATATCTTCAGGAAGGAGAGCAACAAGGTGAAGATCCACTCTTGCCGTGACTCCTACAGGAAGCCGTCTAAAAAAAAACCACTCAGGGAAACATTCGGAACTATTTATGCAGCCAGAGGAAAAAAAAAAGAAAGAAAGAAAAAGAAAAAGCATGTTCCCAGGACATGATCATGCCGTCACCTCGATCGCTCGGCGTACGATTCCGCACAGTGTTCTTCCAAAACCTGCTGTTCTTCCATGAGGGCCTCGCGCCCCGAGGGTGCTGAAAACAACCAGGAAGAGCATCACGCCAAACTGCAGCCTTTTCCACACGGTTCCATCCACAAAAGGAAAACCCAACGCCAAATATGGCCCAGCAAAAGGACAATTTTCTCCCATTAAAGCACACTTGCACTGGCAGGGCTCTAGGCTGAGCAGCATCGCCTGGTTTAGAGCACGCAGCATCAGGAAGCCCAATCCAACCCGCTATCCCGGTGCTTTGGGGCGATGTAACTCCACGTGCTTCCCAAAAGAGCAGCCGAAACGCAGCGAGAGCCGACGGATCCGAGCGCTCCCGGGAAGGCTCCGGGAGAGCGGGGCCGGCGCCCGGCTCCTTTTCTGCCGACACGACGTGAGATGGGAAAGGCAGGAGGAAGCGAAGGCCGCGCGCGGGCGGGAACGCGCGAGGATAAATACGGAAAGACCAAACTCCGGCGGCAAAAGGCTGGAGCTTCCCCTCCGGACTGATACATGGGAAATCCTTTCAATAGGAAACCACAGGAGTAGATTACTGTGATTACACTTCAAAAGCCAAGGCCCTGCTACAGAGACACATAATTGAGAAAAAGTGTCGCTTCTTGATCACTGAAGTCCAGACCCCCTGCTTGCACCTCCCTGCATTCACAGAAATTGCCCTATTCTCCCTTCAGTGGCAGAATCTTTGCTGTTTTATAACACCATTAACTACCCAAACTTGGCAAAACACAATTCTGCCACTGGTCTGACTTCCAAACCCAAAAGTGCTTGGCACAGCGCGGAATAAAAACAACCCAAGAAAACACCGATATTTCAATGAAATTTAAGGTATTTCCAGACTGCGAACACGTAATGTGAAGCCTGGAGCAAGCTTAAATTGCCCAATTCAAAGCAATGCTCCAAATCAATACTGTAAAGGATGCCAGACCCCTAAAATGAAACAGCACCACAAAAAGCAGCTATTCTTGAAAAATAACAGCAGGGCTCTGGGTGCGCGACCGGGCAGAGACACCCTCCGAAACGTAAAAATCGTCCTGAGCAGAGGAACAAACCCAGCGACAGCCAGGCCGCTGCCCTGCAAGGAGACCAGCAACGGGGGAGGCCTTCTGTGCAGGTCTAAGCAGACACCTGGATTTCACATCCCAATTTTTTCTGGACTTCGACTTAGTCAAAGAAAAATTCACTTCTTCAAAGAGCAGTTTGGTTAAAGCGGAGACTTTCTTCCCAGAGTGAAAAGGAGTAAAGAGGCGAATCCCACCTTGGGAGAGCTACACAAGCAGCCCAAACTGCCACAGCCATCGAGAGGAGCCTCATCCTGACCTTCCCCGTCACCAAGGGAAAAGGGGGAGCTATTTATTGAATTCTCCAGTCTCGACTCAGCATTGCTCCGTTATTGGCAAACCTGGGTATTGGCCACGACTGATTTCCTTGGCTGCTCAATAAAATAAAAAGAACAAAAAGAGAGGAGAAAAAAAAAAAAAGAAAGAAGGAAAGAAAAAAAAAAAAGAGCACCAAGCTCTCACCTTGGATCTGAAATCTTCCCTGAGCAGATTTGCTGTCCGTTTCCAGTGATAAAAAATAATAAAAAGCATTACCGGCTGTTTAACCGAGAGAAGCCCTAATTGATTCCCACAGTAATTAACCTGCATTTTACCTCGGAGAGTGGTAGTTAAGGAAGTCGGCACTGCTATTTATAACTCATCTCAAATTGAGGGCAGACTGCCTAAAATCTAACACATCCCAGCTGTACTCCTGTTTGAACTGGGGCCAAGGGAATTTTTTAAAGCAATCTTGGCACCGAATGAATGACACCACCAGTACGAGAGCGCGTGCGGTTGTGTTGTGCTGACGTAGCCGCGGAGGTGGGATGGCG